TTACGTCTACGGATTGTTTCCTAACCTATATTTTTAAGTCCTTTCCTAACCGATTAATAATTATACACAAAATATACTTTCTAATTAATAATCACTTTACACTTACGTTTACTGTCCGTTATGATCGCTTTTCGGTTCAACAGACAAATCAGTCGGGTTACACGAGCCAAATACACATTACGCAAATAAACAGAAAAACTAAAAACAAAAAAAACTAAAGTTTCTGGTACATTAAATTATGGAGATCTTAACAAGTTAGAGAAAATATCAGGTAGCGAACAAAAATATTCTTGACTAAAAACAGCATACTCATTTCTACCAACCTTTCCAATCGAAATGGTCTTAAACTTTACATGGTAACTATCAGAAATCTCCGTGACACCTCAATAAATGCTGGTAAGCTGAAAAAAACTGACAAGCAGCGTATCAGTCCGATAATTTTAGTTTCAGTCTTAACTTACAATCTTTAAAATTCCAATGCCAAGCTGTCCTTTCTGTTTTTTCCTCTACCTCCGCCCATCCTTTCCCCGTCTTCCCTTCGTCTCTTCTTCTTCTCTCAAATTAAAAGCAAAACATTTTTTTTTATTGCCTTTTTCAAAATATTGGCCTGCAACCACAACAGCAAAGGGACAACTGCATTCAGAAAAGCATATTTTGGAAAGAAAAAAATTTGCTTTTTTTCTTTTATTCATTAACAACAGCTTATAAAAAATCCACTATGCAAAAGATAGAACGATTAATAGCGAAGAATACAACAAGTAAAAAAGAATCGGAGGAAAATTGTAAATGTAGCCAAAATCGAAATCAAATACCCCAAAAAGAAACAGCCAAACCGTTTCAGTTATGTATCTGCTTTTTTTTTTTTCTGCAGACCAGTAGTTTAAGGCTAAAGAAAAACTCTTCAGAAATCAAGTTCACTTTGACGACATCAGCAGTTGAACAACATCAATGGCAAAAATAGAAAAATAACTTATCGCAAAGTAGTTGGTTTTCAAAAAAAGTTTTCTTCTCTTCAGAAAACAACAAAGCCCATTAAAAAGAATGAAGGCAAAATTCAGTTTTTTTTTTTCTTTTTCGAATGAAAAACACAGAACCGCTATTGTTGTTGTTAAATTATCGATGAACAACAGCAGCACTTCTCAG